ATTTTGCGTGAGCACTAGAAACATCCCTACTTTGTCAAATGTTTCTCAGTTGCTGCGGCAGACAGAAATTTCGTTCAGACTCCAATTTATCAAAACTGCGTGAATTTTTTTAATACAAGATTTTTTCTGATATTTTTTCTCATTACTCGGCAACCGGGCTAGCTGCGATAAAAATGCTAAAAACCAAAAAGTTTCCAAATTAAGCAGCGAATCCCAGGCCAGTGGCGCGCTGCAATGAAGTTTGAATGGTAAAAAGAGCATGTGTGCGAAAAAGACGTGTGTTTATAAAGCACTTAACTTAAAATATGGTGCTTTATCGAAGCCTAATTCACTGAATTGACTGAATCGACTTTTCAATTCTCTATCCAACGATGCCAAAAGAAATTCTGTGGCTCGAATGGTTCTTGAGAAACTTCGAAAAAAGCAGCGTCATGTTCAAGTGGATTTTGCAACTAAAAAAAACCAGGCAAATCTAAAACTGCTTGAATTCAAGCATTTTTGAGAAAACTGCCAACATTTCCCGAAACGACGAAAATTTTTCAGTAAGACTGTATTTTTTCCACATAACCCCCCCCCCTGAATTTAAAGCTGGATCCGCCCCTGGTTTCAATTTCCAATAATTAAATTGACTATGAAATGCAAAACAATCGAACAAGTCGACTGGTAAAGTCGATGAATTGATTAGCGCAAAACCACTTTTCGATTTCATATTGTGCGTATATAAATGGGCGCAAGACAAAATACTAAATTGCAATTAAAGCCGGAATTATGTATCTAGACTACATCAACGTATTCGTATTATTATATAAGCTGGCGGTAAATTGCTCGAGGTCGCCTTGCAGACATGCTTTTATGAAGATAAATTGGTGTTTCCTTACTGTGTTTAGACGCTTTACATTTTGTGCAATTGTTTCGCAAAAGCCATGTATGGAATAAGGAACCAAACTCGATCAGGAATATCCGCATACTTTATATGTATCTATAAAAAACGCATATAAGTTGCAAAATCATTTTTAGGTGGAACGGTTCTCTAAACCCCATTACCTTGAGGACTACTTCTAGTGCGTACTACTTATAAAGGCGCACCTTTGAATAGTTATAAATATTTCTTGAAGTATGCAGTTATGTTGACACAATTATTACCGGGTGTACTTCCAATAGATCGAAGTTTTCCACAAAAACGTTTTTTTTGTCGACTCGACGGCGTGGTTTCATATGTGATGTAATACCAGGCAGGCAAAAAGTAAATTGAATATTAAATGCGCTTTTAATTGCCCACACATGACTAGTTTCAAAATGTATTTACTTTTACCTCCCTGTACAACTATATGGAACGAGTTCCAGCAAACAGAGAATGAGAAATATACGACCTCTAAGGAAAGTCGGTTATTTGCCCTTGCAAGAACAGTTTCTGTTGTAAGTTTTTTCCGATTTCCTACACAGGAATGTCTCGGCATAGTAAAGGGGCAACTGGCATTTTAATTACAGAAACGGGCACAAACAGCATGATTAACATTTCCATTTTGAACACTGATGCGCCAGTTACCAACCCACAACTTTTTCAAATGCCAGAAAACTCATTTTAAATCGATGTTGCGCAAAATTAGATATTGTTGCTTAAAAGACAATTTCATTCCTGGGTTTCAGTCATTTATTGTCTCTATCAATCAAAATACGTTTCGGTGTATTTTTCCACCATCATCAGTTTTTATGTGTAGCGTTGTTGCTGCTTTAAGCCTTGGCATGCATTTT